GCCACTTCTGGTTTTCTGGTGGTTTATTGGAGATAAGAGTCTCACAGACTTTCCTGCCTGGGCTGGCTTTGAACCGTGATCCTCAGATCTCAGCCTCCTAGGATTACAGGCATGAGCCACTAGCGCCTGGCTAAATATCCCAACTCTTAAGTTGTAGAACCACAGAGCTTGTGCCTGAATCCTGTCTACTCAAAAGGTTGAGATGTAAGGATTCCAGTTCGATTTCTAGCCTAGGCAGGAAAGCCCATGAGATTCACATTCAGTTAATCAGCAAAAAACTGGAAATGGGGGTATGGCTCAAGTGGTAGAGCACCAGCCTTGAGTGGAAACATCTAAGGAACAGTACCCAAGCCCTGAGTTCAAGCCTCAATACCAGCATTCACACACACACACACAAAATTATGCATAAGTAATCAGACTATGCTGAAGTGTTGCATTCAGGGATATATTGTGAAAAAGCCCATCATTGGTTCTTAATCTGAGCATCGCAATACTTACATTGTTGCTAAGCTAAGCAACACAGTCATATAGGGCCAAGTTTGTGGGGGGGGGGTTGTTTTTGTTTTCTTTTTTACCAGTCCTGGGGCTTGAACTCAGGGCCTGAGCACTGTCCCGGAGCTTTTTTTGCTCAAGGCTAATGCTCTACCACTTGAGCCACAGTGTAATTTCCGGCATTTTCTGTGTATACAATACTGAGGAATCGAACCCAGAGCTTCATGAATTCAAGGCGAGCATTCTACCACTGAACTACATTCCCAGCCCCTGGGGCCAGTTTTGTTTTGTTCTATTTTACTTAAGGGATCAAACTCAGTATCTGACAGTTTTGCACACTGGCTGGCACTCTACCACCTGAGCCACGCCTCCAACCCTGGACCACTTTTTTTATATGTAGCCTGTCACTGACTAACTGACATCAGTGTGTCCCTGACTCTACAGGAGGCCACCATAGTGGTAGACCAGAGTCAGGATGCCTTTTCCACCCCACACCCTGGCCTGGCCTTCTGGGTGAGCCTGACCCTTCCCTCACCCCTCATTCCTGGCCCTTCCCCAGAACCTGAAGCGAGTGGCGGAGGTATGGATGGATGAGTATGCAGAATACATCTACCAGCGGCGGCCGGAGTACCGCCACCTATCTGCCGGGGACGTCATAGCCCAAAAGAAGCTCCGCAGTTCTCTCAACTGCAAAAGTTTCAAGTGGTTTATGACCAACATTGCCTGGGACCTGCCCAAGTTCTACCCGCCTGTCGAGCCCCCGGCTGCAGCCTGGGGGGAGGTGAGTTTGTCATTTGGCGCTGGCTAAGGGACCCACAGAGTCCATGTCAAACGCAAACGGGAGAAAAGGGCACTAGAAAGACAGAGGGATGCTTTTCTTCTCTCCTATCTTTACTCTTATCTGCATGGGATTTATTTTCATTTTATTTTGTTGTTGTTCCCCTGCAATGTCACGTTCTCTAAGTATACACAAACTCACACCTCTTTTCCTCTTTTGGTAGCATACATAACTTGTACAAGGAGGTTTCGTTGTGACTTTTTTCAAATTCTTATTATCAAGGTGATGTACAGAAGAGTTAGAGTTTGCATAACTCAGGTAATGAAGTTGGGCATTGGTGGCTCACGCCACCAAGAGGCTGAGATCTAAGGATCACGGTTCAAATCTAGCCCAGCCAGGAAAGGCCATTAACCACCTAAAAACTGGAAGTGGAGCTGTGGCTCAAAGTGGTAAAGCACTAGCCTTGAGCAAAAAAAAAAAAAAGCCCAAGGACTGCATGTAGGCCCTGAGTTCAAGCCCCATGACAAAAAAAAAAGTAATGAGTACATTTTCTTTTTGGACATTACCTCTTCCTTCACTCAGTTTTCCTTCCCATCCCCCTCCACAAGTTGTATAGCTCATTTTTTTGAAGTTCATTTTGATAAATAATATTTTATATGACCAGATGCACATAGGAGTCATACCTTTGTGTTCCTTTGGTCTCACAGTGTGTGAATGAATGCCTAAAGACCTGTAAAATTTATCATGCCCCAGTATATTTTAGAGCTGTGTTCCACATATGTGAGAAAACATGCATCGTTTACCTCTCTGAGCCTGGCTTACCTCACTTAACATGATTTGTTCTAGGTTCATTCATTTCCCTACAAATGACATAAACTTATTCTTTCTTATGGCTGTGTAAAATTCTATTGTGTCTGCGTACTGCATCCTGGTAACCAGGGCCAGGAATGTGGCTTAGTGGTAGAGTGCTTGCCTAACAGGCATGAAGCCCTAGATTCCATTCCTCAGTACCACCTAAACAGAAAAGGCCGGAAGTGACGTGGTTCAAGTGGTAGTGTGTTAGCCTTGAGCAAAAAGAAGCTCATGGACAGTGCCCAGGCCTTGAGTTCATCCCAAGACTAGAAAAAAAAAAATCCACATTTTTTTTTTGATCCACTCATCTATTGTAGGACATCTGGGCTATTTCTGATTTTTTTTTCCCCTGGTCCTGGGGCTTGAATTCAGGGTCTGCATACTGTCCCTGAGCTTTCTTTCCCACCCCTCCCCCCCATTGGCCTCTCATTGCAAGCCTCAGATCTCAGCCTTCTGAGCAGCTGGGATTACAGGTGTGAGCCACTAGAGTCCGGTTTATGTCCTTTTCTAGTAGCATCCAAGGTATGATCCCCCACAACCTCTTCTCCCTGGATCTCGGGAATCAAAATAAAATTGGATTCCTGAATCTCATGTTGAATCACAGTCTCCGGTTGTGAGGCCTGAGAGGCAAACTTTTAGCCTGTGCACATGTGTGCGCGCACACACACACACACACACACAGAGGCCTGAGTCAAGCACAACAAGCATTTGGGGCTCCTCTCTGGATGACTGCCCTCTGTGAAAGGGCGGGGGCACTTCCTTCCTACATGAGAATCTTTCACCATGAGCCATCAGTCTCTGCCTTGAGGGAGTTTCACTGTTCACCCCTCCCCTCTCCCTCAGATTCGCAACGTGGGCACCGGGCTGTGCATAGACATGAGACACAGCTCCCTGGGCTCCCCACTGAGGCTGGATAGCTGCGTGCGGGGCCGCGGGGAGGCCGCCTGGAATAGTATGCAGGTAAGAACTCTTCCTTGGGACTGATGATGGGTTTTCTCAGGGGGAACACGGGGGGCGGGGGGGAGCGCATTCTACCTTTCCCAGTCCAAGTTGGTACCAGAATGCTGGTCATGGCCACCAACACAGGAAGGCTCCCTGAGTTTCTGGGATCCATCTTGTGTTGACTAACCCTGTGTCCACCGAGGCTAACATCCTCATTGTGGATCTTCTGCCATCTTGGCCACATGCGATGATCAAATCCTATAGATGAGGTTTCAGAAGAAAGCTGAGGATAGGCAGAAACTCCTTAGTATGCTCACCTTCTGTTGCTATAACTGAATGTCACAGACTGGGTGATTTACAGAGAAGAAAGGTTGTTAGTTTTGGTTTGTTTTTTGTTATTGAGGGGATTTTTATTTTCTAGTCCTGGGGCTTGAACTCAGGGCCTGGGCACTGTCCCTGAGCCTCTCTCTGATCAAGGCTAGCACTCTACTACTTGAGCCACAGCACCACTTCTGGCTTTTTATATTTATATGATACTGAGGAATTGAACCCAGGGCTTCATGAATGCTAGGCAAGCATTCTACCACTAAGCCACATTCACAGTCTTTATTTCTATTTATTTAATTTTTTTTTAACCAGTCCTGGGGCTTGAACTCAGGGCCTGAGCACTATCCTGAGCTTCTTTTGCTCAAGGCTAGCACTCTAACACTTGAGCTACAGTGCCTCTTGGGGCTTTTTCTGTTTATGTGGTACTGAGGAATCAAGCCCAGGGCTAAGAACTCTATCACTAAGCCACCTTCCCAGCCCCCCCTTTTTTTTTTTTTTGTCAGTTATGAGGCCTGAACTCTGGGCCTGGGCGCTGTCTCTCAGCTCTTCAGCTCAAGGCTAGCGCTTTACCACTTGAGCCACAGCACCACTTCCGGCTTTTTTTTTCTGCTTATGTGGTGCTGAGGAATCGAACCCAGGGCCTCAGGCATGCAAGGCAAGCGCTCTACCACTGAGCCACCTTCCCAGCCCATGTCCCTAGCTCTTCAGCTCAAGGCTAGCGTTCTACCACTTGAGCCACAGCACCACTTCCGGCTTTTTTTTTCTGCTTATGTGATGCTGAGGAATCGAACCCAGGGCCTCGGGCATGCAAGGCAAGCACTCTACCACTGAGCCACCTTCCCAGCCCCCCTGAGTTTCATTTTGCCCAAGGCTAGCACTCTACAACTTGGGCCACAGCTCCACTTCTGGCTTTTGTGTGTATGTACAGTAATTTATTGGAGTTTTAATAGTCTCATTGACTTTCTTGCTCAGGCTGGCTTCGAACTATAAGCCTCAGATCTCATCTTCCTGATAGGCATGAGCCACCAGCACCCAGTTTATTTAGATAACATGTGTCCAGCATGGGCTGCCTTCTGTTAAGGGCCTTCCTGTGGGTGCTGACGTGACAGAGGGGGCCACATTGAGAAATAACATGCTTCCCAAATCTTAGAGTCACCAACACAGTCCCAGCCCTGCCCCACACCCTTTTCTAGTCAGTCTTCCAGAGAGCCTGTCTCCAAATATCATGCAGGGTTAAGTTTCCAATTTAGAAATTCCAGCATTCCACCATTCCTATGGGGATTTCAGAGGGCATAGCCAGCAGCCAGATGCTTCTCCCACTCCCTCTGAAATCAGCCTCTCCTTTTTTCTTGATTGCCAGTACTGGGCTTGAACTCAGGACCTGAATGCCAACCCTTACCTTTTTTTTTTTTTTTTTTGGATCATAGAACTTGAATTCAGGGCCTAGGCACTATCCCTGAGCTCTTTTGCTCTACCACTTTTAAACACAGCTCCACTTCTGGTTTTCTGGTCATTCATTGGAAGGAAGTGTCTCACGGACTTTCCTGCTTGAGCTGGCTTTGAACTGTGATCTTCAGATCCCAGTCTCCTGAGTATCTAGAATGACAGGCGTGAGCCACTACTAATGCCTGGCTGCCTCTCCTTTCTTAAGAGCAGATGAGTAGCTTGTAGCTCATCCTTACTAATTCTTCTGAGTTCTCCAGGGGAGTCTGTGGCTTTAGAAAAGGTTCCTGGGGTTTGTACCACTTCCTGTGGTCTAACAACTCATGGTCCTACTGGAAATTGTGCCCCCATGTCTGCATCCCCCCAGAACAGGGCTGTAGAGGGACGGTGAGACGAATGTTAAGAGGCAGTAGCCAGTGGTCCACCCCCATTCCCACCCCCAGTGCCTTAAGCCTGTAATCCTAGTTGCTCAGGAGGCTGAGACCTGAAGATAATGGATGGAAGCCAGCTTATGCAAACAAATTGATGAGGCTCCTATCTCCAGTGAACAAGCAAAAAGCCAGAAGTAGGGAGTGGCTGGCTCAAGTAGTGGAGCTCCAGCCTTGAATTTCATTGTTTTTTTTTTTCTCTTAATTAAAAAAAAAAAACTAGGGCTGGGAATGTGGCTTAATGGTAGAGTGCTTGCCTAGCATGCACGAAACCCTGGGTGCCATTCCTCAGGACCACACACAGAGAAAAAGCCGGAAATGGCACTAGGGCTAAAGTGATAGAGTGCTAGCCTTGAGCAAAAGAAGCTCAGGGACAGTGCCCAGGCCCTGAGTTCAAGCCCCAGGACTGGTAAAACAAAAACAAAAAACTAAGCAAGTATGTGAAGCCCTGAGTTCCAACTTCAGTACCAGCCCCCCAAAAAGGAATAGAACAAAAAGAAGGATGATGAGGAGTAGGAGAAAAAAAGCGAGTACCAGTACGCAAAAACAGAAGAAAAGAGGAGAGGAGCCAGGTGCCTATAATCCTAGCCACTCAGGAGGCTGAGATCTGAGGATCACAGTTCAAAACCAGCCTGGGCAGGAAAGTCTGTGAAACTCTTATCTCCAATTAACCACCAGAAAACTGGAAGTAGTGCTGTGGCTCCAAGTGGTAGAGCTCACTAGCCTTGAGCTGAAGAGCTCAGGGACAGTGCCCAGGCCCAGAGTTTAAGGCTCACAACCAACAACAACAAAAATCGGGCCAAAGAGAAATACGACTCATATATGAGACCCCTTTTATGTAAAATTCTAGAAGCACTAGTGGCTCACACCTGTCACCTTAGCTACTCAGGAGGCTGAGATCTGAGGATGACCATTTGAGTCAGCTGGGGCAGGAAAGTCTGTAAGACTCTTATCTCAAAGTAACCAATAAAAAAGCTGAAAGTGAAACTTGATTCATTGGTATTAGACTTGACAGGAAAAAAATGCTTAGGAACAGTTCCCAGGCTCTGAGTTCGTGCCACAGACTGGTGATTGCCTAGGCACAGTGTACAGAGACAGAACTTGGAGAGAGCTCAGCAGGGAGCATGAAGATACATTGCGGGCAATGGATATGTCTGTTCCCTTGAATGTGGGGATGGCTTTAGATATTAACATCAGATTGACCCTGGATGCTGATGGCTCACACCTGTAATCCTGGCTACTCAGGAAACTGAGATCTGAGGATCGCAGTTGAAAGCAGAGCTGTGGCTCAAAGCGGTAGAGTGCTAGTCTTGTGCACAAAGGCTCAGGGGCAGTGCCCGGGTCATGAGGCCCTGGATTTGATTCCTCAGCACCACATAAGCAGAAAAAAAAGCCGGAAGTGGTGCTGTGGCTCAAGTGGTAGAGCGCTAGCCTTGAGCTGAAGAGCTGAGGGAC